CCCCCGCTTCCGCTGCCTCCCTTCACTCGCGCGCGCGCGCCCGTCCCCGCCCTTCCTCCTGGTGGCCAAATCCATGTTTTCCGCCCTGCATTCCCCCAGCTAATAGTTACCGTAAACCTGAGGGATCGCGTAGTAACAGGAGCGCAATTGAGTAGCGCGTTTGGTTGGTTGGCAGGTCGGCAGACTGGCTGGCAGGTTTTTATTGGTTGGTTGGCAGGTTGGTTGGCTGGTTGGTTGGTTGGCTTTGGCTGCCAGGTTTGGTTGGCTGGCAGATTTGGCAGGCAGGTTTTGTTAGTTACTTGGCAGGTTGGTCGGTTGGTTGGCTGGCAGGTTGGTTGGCTGGTTGGTTGGCTGGCAGGTTGGTTGGCAGGTTGGTTGGCAGGCTTGTTGGTTGGCTGGCAGGTTGGTTGGTTTGCAGGCAGGTTGGCTGGCACGATGGTTTGGTTGGTTGGTTGGCTGGCAGGTTTGGTTGGTTGGCAGGTTGGTTGGCAGGCTGGTTGGTTGGCTGAGAGGTTGGTTGGTTTGCAGGCAGGTTGGTTGGCTGGTTGGTCTATTGGCACGTTGGTTGGCACGTTGATCTTGTCACGACTTTTCTATGAGGTTCTAAGTAACGTTGATTTCTATTATCTTGCCAAGCCAAGGATTTCTTATGAGGTGATGTTACCGAGGCTTTCTCACATTCTATGTTCTCTCGCGCATTATAATATATGACGCTGAATCAGCATGGATGGATCCGTCTGCATGAATGCACTCATTCTATTCCTTTCTGGTAAATCAGCCTGACTCAGTCTGCCAGGCGTCGCAGTCCTGGATGAAGCAGCTTGCCAGGCTATGCAAAAAAAGAGACAGTGGGCAGAGGCAATGCCACGCGCAGCGTGCAGAGGCTATGCCGCGCGCAGTGGGCAGAGGCTGGCCGCTGAACATCACAATTTTCAGAGTCACAGGTCGCAGTCGATTTTAAGCGCCTTTTTACTCAAGGCTCGATGGTTTCCTATGTTATTGCATCTTACTCGGTACGATCTAAGTACACTCTATGTTGACTGTCATCCTATTTCATGGTTCGAAGGGCACGCCGGCCGCCAGCTGGCGGATTGATTTTGCCATTTCCACAGGATTGGTTTGCCGCTTCCAGTTTGCCACTTCCACTTTTTTTTGATTTGGGCCTTGTTCAAGAGATGTCATTCGTCAGGCTGGTTGGTGACCCTCGGCAGGTTGGCTGGCTGGTTGGAGGGCCGTCTTGGAGGACCGTCTTGGAAGGCCGTCTTGGGGGGCCGTCTTGGGGGGCCGTCTTGGGTGGGCCGTCTTGGGAGGCCGTGTTGGGGGGTCGTCTTGGGGGGTCGTCTTGGGGCCGTCTTGGAGGGCCGTCTTGGGGGCCGTATTCGCGGGGCTCTCTCGGATGCCCTCTTGGACTCTTGGAGCCCCAGGGGGGGTTCTTGTTTCTTGGTGTCATCTTGGAGGCCGTCGGCCGAAGAAGGACGGTGTGGGGCGGTGAGTGTGGGGGGGTGGAGGCGGGGGGGGGGTGGCTAGTAGTGTTGCTATTTCCGAGCCCGACAAGTTGCCCAGAAAGACTCACTTGGGGTGCGCTTGGGGCTGGGCGTTCTGGGAGTCACCCCGGTGCATTCCTGGGCCAATCCTGGCTTGTCTTGGGCTCTTGTGTTGTCTTATCTTGGAACGCTGGTGGGGCCCCTGGAGGCCCGAGGAGCCCCCGCCCCCCAGCTTCCGCCTTCTTGGCGCACCTCTGCCCCGCCGCGTCGCCTTCCACCAGGCCCGTCTCATCCGTAGCTGGCGTGGTTCACTTGTGCCGCTTGGTGACACTTCATGGTGCGGGCGCTTCGCGACATTTCTCAGCGCGGACGCGCGCGTGGGCATCAGTTCTGATGGCGTCGGCGCCGCCCTGCCCCGCCGAGGATACCAGCCAGTTGTCCATGGATGGCCTTCTCAACCAGCTCCTCCAGTCAGAACCCGAGCCGCAGACCGCGGCACCCTTGGCCATCGCGGGCACCGAACACGACGTCAAGCCTGTGCCACCTGCGCGTATCAACCAGCGCAAACCGTCAATGACCAGACGTACCATCGCGGCCCATATCGCGAAGAAGATTGATGCCTCGCCGATCATGGTGCAGCTGGTCTTGGATGCCATCCCGCCACTTATCTTGAAGGAGCTCAAAGAGAACGGGCGGTTCGCATGGCCAAACTTCATGACCTTCGTGACGGAGACGAAGTTCCCAGGGACAAAGGGCCGAGGTCCTCTTATGCAAGAGTTTCGCCAAGGCATCGAAGTGCCATTCTGATTTCGTCAAGATCGTCGAACCGACGTGCAGTTTCAAGAGGAAGTGGGTGGTCGACTCGCAGTGGATGAAGAACACGTCGCCGACGGCCATCCCGCTTCCCGACGACCAGCAGCCACGCGTCGACGACGGCGACCTTCCGATTTCGATTGAGCAGGATGGCGCGGTGCTTCCTATCGCATCGCCTGAAAATCATGAGAACCCGATGGCCTCTTGGACCCCTTCTTCGTCGAGTTGTGTATCTGAGTCATAGGGGGCGGCTGCTGCCGACGTCCTGCTGGCCATGGGGTACTGCGCGCTGTTTCGCAAGGTGTTGCGATGGGAGTGTCGGCGTGATCCATGATCGTGGCAGCTACTGAGCTGCTACTGCGTATGGGGCCATCAGCTTGTCACACGGCTGTAGCGTGGCAGAAGCAGGGTGTCGCTTTCTCGTGCCAGCCATTAGGGATTCACGTTTACAGGTTGTTGGCAGCGATGCGTTGGTCACACCGCAGTTCATTTTGAGTTTGCACCGAACCGAGCGCCGCCATCTCACTTTCGACATCTCCTGTCATCGCAATTCACCCTTGCCTTGGGGCCGTCTTTGTGTGGTCGTCTTGGGGCCGTCTTGGGGCGGTCGTCTTGGAGCCGTCTTGGAGGCTCGTTGTCCTTTGGGGCCTTCTTGGGGTGGTCGTGGGAACTCTTGGGCTCTCTGGGGCGCGGGGGGGGGGGGGGGGGGGATTGCATCTTGCGCGCCATGCCGAGCCATCGGCTCTCCTGAGCCATCTTGGAGGTCCTCTGGGGCTGCTTGGGTTTCCTTCGGAGCCACCTTGGACAATCTTGGACGCGCTAATCGGCCGCGCCATCCGTGTATCCCACTCAAGGGCCAGAAGGGTCGTTTGCACCATCCGCCACCTGCATTCTCATCATCCCCCTCCAACTCGCCACCTCCCCCCCCCCCCTCCGCGCCTCCAAATCCCCGTAATCATCCCCTTCCCAATCCCGCGCCCGCACACGCACGCACGCACATGCAAACGCACCACCTCACCCTCCTCATCCTTATCAGTCTACCCCGCGTCCCCATCGCTCTCGTCCTCCTCGTCCATCTCCTCCCCCCATCCTCATCGTCCTCATCCTCCTCATCCTCCTCCTCCTCACCCCCCTCTGCATTGCCATTTTAGCTAGAGTTTTTAGCTTGGGGAATAGCTTCCACGGCAGTTCAATCTCTCGGTGCACTGCACTACAATTGTACTTCCGTGCCCCCACAGGGCACATCCATATCATAGTGGCGGAGACGTCGCTGTTGCGTATCTTCTTTGGTCTCGCTGCGGCGTTGGTCGTCGGCACGGGCCTCGGTTTACATATGAAGGGCTCGAAGAGCGATGCCAGTCACGGCTCGAAGCGCACTAGTATTCGTGGTGGAGGCTCCGTGGTGTCTTGCAACCCGGCTGTTGCGCCGACTGCGGCCAAGAGGGCCAATAGGGATGTGATTGTTACCAAAGCACAGCAGGACAGGAAGGCCGCCGACGATGCCACCCGAGACGCTCGGGCTAGCTCGAGCCGAACACTTCGATGCGGACGTTGTGCAAATGCGCCTGGACCGCAGACAAAATGGGGCGAGTACGCTGGCGAGAAGCCCAAGGGCCCCGCGTGCGAGGTGTGCTTCTTGAAGCAGAAGGACGGCTTCGCCTTCCTGACGTTCGCGGAGTTCGTGAAGCTCGAGAAGACCCCTGAGGACAAGAGGGCCATGGAGCAGGTGGCGGCCCTGCAGAGTGGCGGAAGCGCTACGTGGGCGCCCGCAGGGGCGACTGATGTCCACAGCATCGAGATCAAGATCTCCAGGAAGGCAGTCGTGATGAACAGCACTGAGTACACGAAGATCATTGGGGCCGCGAGGGGCGTGAGGCACCCTGCTCTTCCTGAGATGACCATCCCGCGCGAGGATGGCGATGGCGATGAGACAGTGTACGTCTTCAAGCATCCGTACTCCCCCATCGTGAGATTGAGGTCTCCACGGTGCTGCGGTCCACCAGCTCGGCCAGCCACCTCGATCGCGCTTCCAACGTCTTCGAGGACCAAGCTCGCATGGTCGTCCAGCAGCTCGTCGATAAGCGCAACAAGCAGGTTGGCATGACCATGTTGCTGCATCCCACTGCGCCCTTGCGGACGCCCCAGTACGTTCGAGACAAAGTTCAGCGAGCTGGAACCTTTGGGAGACGGTCGGGCGAGCCCAAGGCGGGTGACGCTTGTGAAGAAGACGCCTCCGATGCGTCAGATCCCATTGAGACCGACAATGAGCCCGAGTGTGAAGGGGGCAAGCGCCAGCGCACTGGTACCGCTTCGGGGGCACTTTCACCTGCGGTGGCTGCGACTCCGAGGTTCCCGCATCCGACGGCGCCGATGGTGACGACCCCCAAGGCCAAGGCCTTTGCTGAGCCCCCACGCATGTCGCCAGCGCACATGTCGGCGGCTGCCTCTGCAGTCAGCAGCGCCCGACTCCCCGAGCCGTCGCCGACGCGGTCTGCCGTGGCCCGCTCCAGCGTCGGCGGCAGTTTTGACGGTGGCGGCTGCGGCTCTGACATCGGCGACTCAGTCAGCCAGCTAGCCGACGGCGATGATGAGGATGAAGATGGCGACGCGGGCGGTGACTGGGACAGCAACGAGACGCTCTACGCGAGGTGGAAGCGCAAGCTGTCCTTGAAGGCCGTGGTCAATGGCCAGAAGTTGCAGCGCCAGGTTCGGTTCGCAGAGAAAGCACTCGTCAAGATGAGCCCGAGCGACTCCGCCAGGATGAGCGCGCACTTGAGCCAAGTGCGGGGGGGGGGAAGCGAACGCACCTCCACCGTGGATGGGGCCGAGGGCGGGGGGGATCGAGGACAGTCTCCACCATCTTCGCCTCCTCCTCCTGCTTCTCGGCACCCTTCCCCACCTGGGCCCCGCCTCCTCTTCCACGGGGAAGGGGGGGGGGGCGGGGGGCGGGGCGGGGTAGTGGAGTGGGTGCGGTGGGGGGGGGGGGGGGGGGGGGGGAGGGCGGGGGCGGTGCGGGGGGGGGGAAGGGGGGGGGGGGGGCAGGTTAAGGAGGGATGGGAGACAGGGTTAGGAGGAGGAGGATGAGGAGGAGGAGAAGGCGAGAAGGAGGAGGAGGAGGAGGAGGGGGAGGAGGAGGAGGAGGACAGGATGCTGGCCTCAACCGTAGCCATTTGTGCTCAATCAGTTGCGGCCGTGCGCGGTCGCCGCGGCGCAACGCAGCCGCGGCGACCTACAGAGCCGCCGCCGAACGCTGCCTGCGAGCAGTGCCCCGCTCGGCTGCGGACCTCCTTTCAGGCCGAGGCCGACGCCTTGGCCCAGGTCACTCGCCAGCAAGTCGGCGACGAGGCCGACGCCGTCGGCGATGAGGCCGAGGTTGTGGCCGATGTGCCCGATCGCATCGGGCTGCGGGGCCTGCTCGATGGCGCCCCTCAGCTTCAGGACCCATCGGATGTGAATCCAGCGACGGCCGCCTGGCAGAGGGTGGCCGAGGCGGCGCGGGCCGCCCGTGCCGCCAACGCCGATTGGCTCGCTAAGAGCTGGGGCCCAGCTCTTAGCGAGCCAATCGGCGTGCGGCGAGAGCCTCCTGTCGCTCAGGGAGGCAGCGATGGCCGCCCAGGCGCTGCGCAGAGCCACCGCCGCTGGGGAGGCAGCGGCGCAGCACGAGCCCGAGTTCTGATGAGACCTTGGGTCTTGAAATGCGGTGTGTGTGGGAATGTGAATGTGAATGTGAATGTGAATGTGAATGTGAATGTGAATGTGAATGTGAATGTGAATGTGAATGTGAATGTGAATGTGAATGTGAATGTGAAGTGAATGTGAATGTTTGAATCGTGAATGTGTTTTGTGACGCGTGTGGGAGGAGAGAGAGAGAGAGGGGGCGAGGGTGTGATGTCGGTGCGTGTCCACGGTGGTTGTTGTGGGTGATGTCGTGTGTGTGTGTGCGTGTTGTGTGTGTCGTGTGTGTGGTTGTGTGTGTGTGTGTGTGTCGTGTGTGGTGTGTGTGTGTTGTGTTGTGTGTGTGGTGTGTGTGTGGTGTGTCGTGCGTTGTGTAGTGTGTGTGTGTGTGTGCGTTGTGTGTGGTGGTGTGTGTGTGTGGGTGTGTGTGTTGTGTGTGTGTGTGGGGTGTGTGTGTGTCTGTGTGTTGTTGTGTGTGTGTGTGTGTGTGTGTGTGTGTGTTGTGTGTGTGTGTTGTGTGTGTGTGTGTGTGTGTGTGTTCGTCGTGTGTGTGTTGGTGTGTTGTGTGTTGTGTGGTGTGGTGTCTGTGGTGGTGTTGTTAATGTGCGCGTTGTGTGGGGGAGGGGGGGGGGGGGGGGGGGGGGGGGGGGGGAGGAGGAGGAGGAGGAGGAGGAGGAGGAGGAGGAGGAGGAGGAGGGAGGAGGAGGAGGAGGAGGAGGAGAGGAGGAGGAGGCGGAGGAGGAGGAGGGGAGGAGGAGGGAGGAGGAGGAGGGGTGGAAGTGGAAGAAGAGGGAGGATGGAGGAGGGAGGAGGATGACGCGGAAGAGGAGGATGATGAGGAGGGAGAGAGGAGGGGGGGGAGGATGAGGATGAGGAGGGCTGGGCGCGGGCGCGCCAAGCTAGCTGGCTCGCGAGGCAGGGCAGCGCCGCCGCGTCGGCGGTGCCATGGAATGGTGGCAGGTCGTGCCTGACGACCAGCCACCTGCGCCAGCTGTGCCGCAGCCGCCAGCTGCTGGGGCCATTGCCCCGCCCGTGCTGCCTCCCGAGGGTGTTGGGGCCCTTGCCCCGCGACACGCCCCGCGCGTGGTGCCACCGCTCTTCACCGTTAGGGCGACGCCGCGCCCGCCGTCGACGCTGCCGCCGCACCTTGCAGGCAGCGGCCTTAGCCCCAAGGCGCCGTCGCCCGCGGCGTCGCGCTGCGAGGTCGGCGATGGGGCCGAGGTTGCCGATGCGCAACCGCGGCAAAAGCGGCGTCGCGGCGAGAAGGCCCAGGCGGCCGAGCGCTGCTCCTGGGCCTTCCGTGGGGCCCCTTATGGGGCCGCGAGGCGTGTGAGGGGCGTGCCGAAGTTGGTGGGGGGACGCATGTGGGCGGTGGCGCTGGGGCCATCGGTGGAACTCCCTACGGGGCCACGAAACGCGGGAGGGGTGTACCGAAATGGGCGGGGGGGGGAGCGCATGTGGAAGGTGGCGCTGGGGCCATCGGTGGAACTCCCTATGGACAGCGAAAAGTATGTGGACGGACGGTGTCATTGGGGTCCATGGTGGAACTCCTTATGGGTGGTTGCCGAAGGGGGGGGGGGGGAGGGGGCGCATGTGGACCGGGTTGCGCTGGGGCCTTCCGTGGAGGCTCCTATGGGTGTCCACGGGGACACGAGGCGGGTAAGGGGTGTTACCGAGTGTGGTGTGTGTGTGTGTCTGTGTGTGTTGTGTCGTGTTGTGTTTTGGTGGTGTCTGTGTCTGTGTCTGGTGTCTTGTGTCTGTGTCTGGTCTGTTGCTGGGTGTGTGTGTCTGTGTGTGTGTCTGTGCGTGCGTGGCATGCGTGTTGTGTATGTGTGTCTGTGTGTCTGTGTGTCTGTGTGTCTGTGGTCTGTGTGTGCCTGTGTGGGTGTGTCTGTGGTGTGTCTGTTGTGGTCCTGTGTGTGTCTGTGGTGTCTGTGTGTGTCTGTGTTTGTTGGTGTCTCTGTGTTGTGTCTCTGTGTTCCTCTGTGTGTGTCTTGTGTGTGTTCTATGTGTGTCTGTGTGTGTGCGTGCGTGCGTGCGCGCGCGTCTGTGTGTGTGTGTCTGTGTGTGCGTGTGTGTGTGTGTGTCTCGGTGTGTGTGTGTGTGTGTGTGCGTGCGTGCGTGCGTCTGTGTCTGTTTGTCTGTGTGTCTGTGTGTCTGTGTGTGTCTGTGCGTGTCTGTGTGTGTCTGTGTGTGTCTGTGTGTGTGTCTGTGTGTGTCTGTGTGTGTGTCTGTGTGTGTCTGTGTGCGTCTGTGTGCGTCTGTGTGCGTCTGTGTGCGTCTGTGTGCGTCTGTGTGCGTCTGTGTTCGTCTGTGTGCGTCTGTGTGCGTCTGTGTGCGTCTGTGTGCGTCTGTGTGCGTCTGTGTGCGTCTGTGTGTCTCTGTGTGTCTCTGTGTGTCTCTCTGTGTCTCTGTGTGTCTCTGTGTGTCTCTGTGTGCCTCTGTGTGCCTCTGTGTGTCCCTGTGTATGTCTGTGTATCTGTATCTCTGTGTGTCTCTGTGTGTCTCTGTGTGTCTCCGTGTGCGTCTGTGTGCGTCTGTGTGTCTCTGTGTGTCTCTGTTTGTCTCTGTGTGTCTCTGTGTGTCTCTGTGTGCGTCTGTGTGTCTCTGTGTGTCTCTGTGTGTCTCCGTGCCTCCGCGGGTGCGTGAGTGCGTTGGTGCGTGGGTGCGTGGGTGCGCGAGCGCGCGAGCGCGCGAGTGCGCGAGTGCGCGAGCGCGCGAGTGCGCCTGTGCGCCTGTGCGCCTGTGCGCCTGTGCGCCTGTGCGCCTGTGCGCCTGTGCGCCTGTGCGCCTGTGCGCCTGTGCGCCTGTGCGCGTGCGCGCCTGTGCGTCTGGGCGCCTGTGCGCGTGCGCGCCTGTGCGTCTGTGCGCGTGTGCGCCTGTGCGCCTGTGCGCCTGTGCGCGTGTGCGCGTGTGCGCGTGTGCGCGTGTGCGCGTGTGCGCGTGTGCGCGTGTGCGCGTGTGCGCGTTTGCGCGGGTGCGCGATTGCGCGCGCGCGTGCGCGCGTGCGCGCGTGCGCGCCCGTGCCAGCGTGCGGCGCCTGTGCGGCGCGTGTGCGCGTGTGCGCGTGTGCGCGTTTGCGCGGGTGCGCGATTGCGCGCGCGCGTGCGCGCGTGCGCGCGTGCGCGGGTGCGCGGGTGCGCGGTGCGCGGGTGCGCGGGTGCTCGGGTGCGCGGGTGCGCGGGTGCGCGGGTGCGCGGGTGCGCGGGTGTGCGCGCGTGCGCGCGTGTGCTCGCGTGCGCGCGTGTGCGCGCGTGTGCGCGCATATGCGCGTGCGCGCGCGTGTGCGCGCGTGTGCGCGCGTGTGCTCGCGCGCGTGTGCGCGCGTGTGCTCGCGGGCGCAGCCATTTAGGCCTCCGGTGGGGCTCCCTATGTTGCCACGAAACGTGAGGGGTGTGCCGAAATTGGCGCGGTGGGCGCATGCGGGCGCAGCCACTTGGGCCTTCGGTGGGGCTCCCTATAGGGCCACGAAACGTGTGAGAGGTGTGCCGACATGGGCGCGGTGGGCGCACGCGGGCGCAGCCATTTTGACCTTCGGTGGAGCTCTCTATGGGGCCACGGTTCGTGTGAGGGGTGTGCCGAAATGGGTGCGGTGTGCGCATGCGAGCGCAGGCATTTGGGCATTCGGTGGGGCTCACTATGGGGCCACCAAACGAGTGAGGGGTGTGCCGACACGGGTGCGGTGGGCGCATGCAAGCGCAGCCATTTGGGCCTTCGGTGGAGCTCCCTATGGCTATGGGGCCACCAAACGCGAGGGATGTGCCGAAATGGGTGCGGTGGGCGCATGCGAGCGCAGGCATTTGTGCCTTCGGTGGGGCTCCCGATGGGGCCACGCAACGCGTGAGGGTTGTGCCGACACGGGCGCGGCGGGCGCATGCGAGCGCAGCCATTTAGGCCTTCTTTGGGATTTCACACGGGGCCGCGAATCGTGTGATGGGTGTGCCGAAATGGACGCTGTGGGCGCATGCGAGCGCAGCCTTTTGGGCCTTCGGTGGGGCTCCCTATGGTGCCACGAAGCGTGTGAGGGTGTGTGTCAAAATGGGTGCGGCGGGCGCGTTCGAGCGCATGCATATTGAGCCTTCTGTGGGGTTCCCATATGGGGCCAC